GTTAGAACTAGCACTTTGAGCGGCTATAGCAGCCTCCACGCTCACAATAGAGTCGCGAAAGGTGAACAATCTTCTAGCTTGGAGGCTAGACTACTTGCACAACAAAGGCGACCACGAGGAACTTTGATCGCGGGGGCGGCTTTAAGAGTCCTTGGCTTCCATCCTGCTCCCAGGAAGTGGATATCGAAACATCTTTCCGGCAGAACCTTCCAGGTTAAAAATGACCAGTCCCATTTAAGTGTTAAACAGGCGCTAAGTGAAGTACCCAACGGTGGTGCTTTATCACCGTTCTTTTTAACATTTTCACGGCCGAACTTCCTGGCTTGCTCAGAGGAGGTGTCATGGCTAAAGTATATGCTGACGACTCGAAAATATATAAGACGATCTTGCATGATACGGAGTATCTGACCCTGCAAAAGGCCGTAGATGTGACAGTCCACTGGTCCAAGAAATGGCAGTTGCCTATAGCTCCACCGCAATCAGTTCACATGGAACTTAACTCTGGAAACATCTAACCATTGTCCGCGTACACTGTGGATGAGGTCCCCCTTCCGTTACCCAGTATGTCAGAGTTCTCGGTTCCTACCACACTGATAGATTCGATTTTTCGGAGCATATCAAAAGGAGGGTACAAACAGCTCACCCACATATATACCATTTTCACTTTAACACGTTCCGGACCGCGTGACACACATGGTTTGGTACGATTTTGCACCTGTGCAGTATTTTATTCGATAAGCTCGACATGTCCTTCATGTTCTAGTGTTGCCAAAACATGTTCCCGGGTACGGAAAGTCCTACTCTTCATCAACAATTGAAAAGAATCAGGGAATATACGATAAAACTCATGTAAAATAAGGAAATAATCGCAAGATGCGCTCAGTATGGCGGTACGCAGTGTGTTAAATTCACCCCTTTTGAACCAAATTAACCCTTTTTCAAACCAAATTTACCCACCTTCCAAATCGAATTCACCCACCTTCCAAATCGTCACCACACTTATTAGGCTGCGCAAGTCATCTACCAAATTACGCCAGACACTACTGCGGGCCCCGCCCCTCGGCCACGCCCACTTGCTTTTTGCGGAATTTTCAAATTTTTTCGAAATTTTTGCATTTTTGGACTGCTGCGTGCAGCCCCGCCCACCGTTGGAGACTCCGCCCACTTTGGAGGAGCCCCGCCCACATTTCAAAAATGATGCAGGTAGTAAGGTCTGGCTTTCATGCTAGGGTCTCCTTCGTCACTCAAAACAAAGTTTGGCTGATTTTCTTGTTCCGAGTGAGGAACGAGACCCTAGCATGAAAGCCAGACCTTATACTACTTGCTCATTGAAATGTGGGCGGGGCTCCTCCAAAGTGGGCGGAGCTCCCAACAGTAGGCGGGGCTTGACGTAGGAGACCAAAAATGCAAAAATTTCGAAAAAATATCAAAATTCCGCAAAAAGCAAGTGAGTGTGGCCGAGGGGGGGGAGGGCTGGGTCGCAGTAGTGTCCGGCGTGATTTGGTAGACGACTTGCGCAGCCTAATAAGTGAGGTGAATTCGATTTGGAAGGTGGGTGAATTTGGTTTGAAAAAGGGTGAATTTGGTTTGAAAAGGGGTGAATTCAAAGTGAAAATAGTATATACCGTTTTCACTTTGAATTCGTCCTTTTTCAAAGCAAATTCGTCCTTTTTCAAACCAAATTCGTCCCTTTTCAAACCAAATTCGTCCTTTTTCAAACCAAATTCGTCCCTTTTCAAACCAAATTCACCCTCACTCTTCATCAAGAATCACACTTATTAGGGCGGGCAACTCATCAACCAGATCACGCCAGACATCACTGCGAACCCCGCCGACGGCCACGCCCACCTGTCAGCGCGGACATAGATTCTCAAATCTCGTTTCATAATATCTGCTTTTGCTGTTTCCCACAAACCCTTTGACTGGAAACCACCGTGCATTCACACATAGCCGACTCCGCCCATTCCCTACAGGGTTTGGCACTCTAGGCTGACCACGCCCTCTGGCTTTTCGCGGAATTTCGATGTTTTTTCAAAATTTTTGCAATTTAGGGGTTGCCTCATGAACCCGCCCACTGTGAGGGGCTCCGCCCACTTTGAGGAAGCCCCGCCCACTTTTCAAAATGGTGCAGATCGGCAGTATAGAGCCTTGCGCTTGCGTGCTAGGGTATTGCTGATCATTCGGAATAAACTTTTGCCGGTTTTTCTTGTTCCGAGACGTACGAGACCCTAACATGCAAGCCAAGTCTCTATACTGCCGATTCTGCACCATTTTTGAAAAGTGGGCGGAGCTTATTCAAAGTGAGCGGAGCTCACAAAAGGGCGGGCTTCACGCCAGCAACCCAAATTGCAAAAATTTAAAAAAAAAAACATCGAAATTCCGCGAAAAGCCAGTGGGGCGTGGTCAGCCTAGAGTGCCAAACCATTTGAGGAATGGGCGGAGTCGGCTATGTGTGAATGTGGTTTCCAGTCAAAAGGGTTTGTGGGAAACAGCAAAAGCAGAAGTTATTAAACGAGATTGAGAATCTATTGTCCGCCGCTGACAAGTGCGCGTGGCCGTCGGAGCGGGGCTCGCAGTGATGTCTGGCTTGATCTGGTTGATGAGTTGCCCGCCCTAATAAGTGTGGTTTTTGATGAAGAGTGAGGGTGAATTTGGTTTGAAAAAGGACGAATTTGGTTTGAAAAAGGACGAATTTGGTTTGAAAAAGGACGAATTTGGTTTGAAAAAGGGCGAATTTAAAGTGAAAATGGTATATATCACATTTTCAAAGGCCTACCAACTGCAAACACACAAGTATTATTGCGTGCCTATAAGAACTATGTTAGACTCTTACCAGGAAGGTCGTTTAGGACGTGGAGCGCTTTTTGAAAACGGTTTTTTGCATGATGTAGGGTCACGTGCATGGAGTACCAGACTGACGTTCATTTTTCCTGCGCGCCTCTGGAAATACCAAAAAAGGAGTGAAAAAGAAATGCATGGGAACCGGTGGTTTTTGAGCCTCTGTGAGCTCTAAATCACTTGCAATTTCGACCAGTTGCTGAGTGGTGCATCCTTATAAAGGTACTATTGGAGTGGAGGAGGAAAATAGCCGCGATTGGGGTCTTACTTGAGTTACGTCATTGGGAATGAGCGGTCCTCAGCGGCTTGTCGGGACGGTTTCTTCAACGATCAGAGTGGTGTTCAGCCACAACGATCGTATGGCCTAGTGGATAGCGTGGAGGATTCTCAATCGGACACTGAGGGTAGGGGTTGATGGCTCGACTCCCCTCGGCGGAGTTTTCGCATTTTTTATGTTTCGCTGTTTTCGCTTCTATAAATGTCTGTTTATGAATTTTAATCGGATTTCTACCAGCTATAGGCGCATTCTAAATAGTTATACCCCATAATTCGCTGTTATTGAACAATTCCGATTTTCACATACCATTAGGTAATAGCTTTTCTCAAAGTTGGTCTTTATATGTTATTCAGTGCCCTGGCCACGAATATGGCAGTTACTTTCAGCTGTAGTGCCATTTATCGCCATCTTGGAGCGACTTCTTTCTTCACTGGGGTCGCTATGTACACTCGTTTGAGGGACTTTCAGGGTCATTCTGACGCCAGATTGCGTCGACGCGAAGAATAAGTGTCAGAATCGTGATCAGGACCATCAATTATACCTATAGGCAAACTTTCGGCCAAATTTTTTGGCTTTTTTGGGTTTGTGTATTTTATTATGCCCTGGTGTCATTCTGTAGAACTTGTACTTTCCTCGTTACTGAAACACTTCCATTCAGTGGTACAGAAACATAAAACTAACGAAAACAATAAAATTCATAGAAAGAAGAAGAAGGAGGTTATCATTTCTCCAGGTGCTTTTGAAAAAGGGAGCTCGGACTAGTCTTTTTTGTCGGTAATGGATGACGACATCTTCTTTGAGCGAGCACTCGCTAGGAGTCGACAAATGTCCAGGATGGTTTTTCCCCTGTTTTGCGGCCATCTGTACCCATACCAAGTATGAATGGACCTTATAAGCACCGAATCCGCGATACGGCTGAAAGCCGGCGCGCCACGTCATCGCTACGCCATCGAAGTTTCGAAGGTGTGAGAATCCGATCATCACTGTCGACCAAATGGTCTACCACAACTCAAGGGAGTCAAAAAAAATTTTTAGCCGAAAGTTCGCCTATAGGGGTCGATGATTCTGATCACGATTCTGACACTTATTCTTCGCGTCGACGCAATCTGGCGTCAGAATGACCCTGAAAGTCCCTCAAACGAGTGCACATATAGCTACTCCAGTAAACAAAGAAGTCGCTCCATGGTGATAAATGGCACTACAGCTGAAAATAACTGCCATAGTCGTGGTCAGGGCACTGAATAACATATAAAGATCAACTTTGAGAAAAGCTCTTACCTAATGGCATGTGAAAATCGGAATTGTTCAATAACACCGAATTATGAGGTATAACTATTTAGAATGTGCCTATAGCTGGTAGAAATCCG